TGCCATGATGCCTTCCAATCTAAACAACCTGAAAGTTTCTCACCCAAGGAAGTCCAGCTGTAGCTAAGCAACATATTGATAAGCAGGAATACAGGGAGGGCTGGCAGATTCTCACAGGCACATAACCTAATTAGGCCTTGGAATGTAGGCTTCGTTAGACTGTTTGATAGCAAATGCCTGCTCATTAATTGGTGTTGATGTTCCAAGGTGTCTGTTGTACATCTTCTCAGCTGAGCCAGGATTTTTGGCTGATCCAGACAAGATGGAAGTTTTGCTCACAAAAGGAAGACACTCACAGCCAGCCAAAGTATGTGTACGTTCTTGGACTGCATCTACATTGACTAAGTCAAAGAAGCAGGCAGCACACCAGAGAGAAATTACAGATCCAATATGGAAGACACAGCCATAGCTGTACCAGAGCAGAGAAAGCAAGCACAGAGGCTGCAGGTGTACTATATTGTGACATAACTTTTATTGGTTTTCGTGTCTGGGCAATATGGTACATCGGGGTGGGGAAAATGAGGCCTTTTGGCTTGGGCTTGTTGATTTGCCAGCTTGCACAGAAGAGTCCTGCAGATAGTTGCATTCTGCATGGTAGATCCTGCACTGAGCAGGGGACTACAGGAATTCTTCCTCCCCACTCTGTGATTCTGTCTAACATGGCTTCTTCAAACAGAAGCTGATCATGAAGCCGGCAAGGGGCATGGCCAGCCTGCATGGGGCACAGACAGTAGGTATCCTGTGGCATCCCCCACCCTCACCATAGCTAGCGAGTGTCAACCAGAAAGTCTCCTTCAGAGTAACTAGAATGGTGCTGTTTTCAAAAAAGTCTAACCTCGCTTTAGCAGTAGAGGCATGAACTAACCAATTTTTTTTTTTTTGCTAACAATGCTGCATGAGGTAGAAAGCGATGAATGAGACTAAGCCAAAGTACATTGGAAGAGTCCATGGAGAGATCCTCTGTTGGCTCCTAGGAATACAGGGACTGTCTTTGCAGAAGAGACAATTGCAGGAGGCACCAATACATGACGTTACACAAAGCTGTGGGTTTTGTAAGATTGAACAACATGGAAAAGCTTGACAAGGGAGCTGTATTAGTGTTCAGGGTAAACCAGATGAGATGATGGAGCTTTGTGGATGCATCTTGCAGTGTGGGAGAAGTATGTGTGATCAGCACTGGGACTGGTGCCCAGGGACACCCTCCCCCAACCGTTTTGTGCACTGAAAACATGCCTGTATTATGTTGGGGGGAACGGGGGTCATTTTGAGTGGTCAGCCTCTCCGTGGGTTCCTCCAAGTCGAGGGCTCCTGCTGCTACCAATTAAAAGACACTGTGGAAATACTGCATGTTATCTCCTTAATAGGTTTGCTGTGGTAAGAAAAAAATACAGAACAGTAGAAAAACATGGAAGGGTTATGATGAGTCCATTTCTCCATAAAACTTGGTGAAGGTGGTGGGGTGATAGCATGTTGAAAGCACCTGCTACTAATCCTGTGGCTACTAGTAGCAGCTTTACAAGGATGTCCTTGGGGGCAAAACATGGCTGAGCTACACAGAAGGAAGGCATCTTTCCATCTTAAGGAAGCTGCAGGGCATGCTGAGCGTCTCAACTGTACCAGAAGCAATGCATACATTTTCCTGCTGTATTTACTTGTAGGGGACAGTGTCATCCAAACTTTGGTCTTGCTAATCCACCGGATTGCTTGGGGCTTCTCGAACTCTGTAATGTATTGAGTTACAGCCTGCAAGCATTTGTATAGACCAGGGGTCAGCAACCCGAGGCTTTGGAGCCGCATGCGGCTCTTTCATCCCTCTGCTGCGGCTCCCTGTTGCTCAAAATATGCGTCACAACTGCCAATGTGCGACACCCGCCGGCACACAATTTATTGAGCTTTTCAACCCCCAGTAGGCCAACCATGGATAAATTCAAGAAAAGAAAAGTTTCAAAAGAAAACAGAACGTTTAATGGTACGTGGGCAGATTCATTTGCTTTCACTGCTGACGAGATTGGTTTACCAGAATGTTAATATGTGGTGAGAAATTGGCAAACAACAAAAAGTCGAATGCTGCAAGGCATTTCCAGAATAAACACACAGCCTTTGCTGAAAAATATCTAGATGGAGATGAGAGAGAAAAAGCATTTTGGAACTGATGCGGAAGGTTGATCTGAGCAAAAATCATTTCAAGAAGTGGATTAAATCTGCAAATTCAACTGCATATGCTAGTTTTGTGGCCACTCAAGAAATAGTCAGGCACAGGAAGCCATTCACAGATGGAGATTATATAAAAGAATCATTCATTGATCTCATAAATGCAACACACTAGTTTTTTTATACATAGCATAAAGGTAAAAAAAATGATATATGCAGTGTTATCTTCATTTTAGATGTCAAAAGTGTTTTGTGGCTCCCGGTGTTTTCTTTTCTGTGGGAAATGGCTCCAAATGGCTCTTTGAGTGTTTAAGATTGCTGACCCCTGGTACAGATCAAATAAGCAAGTTAAGCACATTTTCGAATACAGACGCTATACTTTTGCTCCTCTTTCTGACCCCATATGCAAACTTGGAATGAAGACTAAGGATGGGTGTGCAAATGAGTTTTTAAGTACACAAGTTTTTAATCCTCTCATTAGCTGGTTGTGATGCATCACAATCAAATTAGAGGAAGCTGAGGCATTGTTTAGTTCTTTCCCTGTTTCTGATTTACTACTTTAACAATATTAAGGGGTTTTTTCCCCGATTAAATAGGAAGCTGGTAAATGAACTGGGTGAAAGGCACCTCCTGTTCACCTATCTGCCCCAGCTGTATCTAAAGTTCATGAACTGAACACAGCATTTTGGAGAGGCAAAGCTGGAACATGATTTTGGCTGCGTGCATCCTGCAGCGTCTTTCCAAAGAATTATTCATTTTGCTGAAGAGACATATAGGATGGGGTTGTACATAATGGCATTACCGTAAGTCACTATTAAGTGACCAAGATGACCCTGGCAAATGATGGGTTCTCTGCTTCCTCCCTTCCCCCCGCCCCCCATTTATCCTGGTGGCATCCCTGGAGACACCGCTGGGAGGAATTAAGTTCTTCTCTCTGGCATCTGTGATGGTGCACCACCTTCAACCAACCACAGGATTTTAATCCCATTCCACTTCAGGGCATGAACCCTAGTTGCACAATGGGAAAAAGACAACAAAAACCTTTCTCCCTACTGCACCCAGAAGCATAACAGAGAGGACAGTGGAGCCTCTAACCTCTTGCTGAAGAGGTCTTCTTTTGAGGTGGAGATACCAAATCCATTCCCGGCTGTTGCCCTCAGTGCAGGATGCTGGTGTAGATCAGAGACAACATCACTTGGAGTAGCCAGATTCCCTCTGTTGCACTGCCTGCCTGATGTGGAATGGATCTCCGTCTCCTTAACTGGGAGCCTTACTTTCAAGCAGGGGTACCATTTCCACAGTATGTGGCAGTCCCAAGCAAGGAACAGTGGTGTGGCGTAGAGAGGTCATCTCTGCCTCCTGCTTGACAGTAGATCTCTCAAGCAGGAGGTGGGGTGCCACCATTGCTCAGATCCCCAGCTTCTGCTTGAGAGGTCTACTCTTGAGCTTGAGGCATCTGGCACTGCATCAGGGGGATCACTAATCCTTGACTCCTGCACCACAGGCTGGGATAACCTGTCTGCTTCACTGCAAGGGCAGCAGTGGATGACATGACAATCCACCATAAGCCAAACAAACTCTTCAACAAATAATTGGTTTTAATCATGGCGGCTGATCACAACAAGAAACAATGGTTGCTGTGACTGAGTTCACACAATACTGCTTTGTTGGTTGTCATGTGAACACAGAACTAGTAATGAGCAGTAGAGATGGGCCAAAGAAGTTTTCCATTATATCCTATTGCAATCCAAGTAAAAGACCCTCTTGCTTGCAACAGAAAATAAAGGAAGTGCAGCCAGTAGAAGGTATGGGTTTTAGAACATATTGACTGGGTTTGCACATTACCATAGCACAGTTCTGGTGTGTGACAGTGGCTATTTCAAATAATCAACTGGGGTGTTCAATGGTTTGTCCTGTTCTCTCAACCTAGCTGACAGGTTTTTTTTTTAAGGGTTAACCCACCCATATCATCTATGGAAGAGTTGTTTGATCCTCAAATAACCCCTGCTTCCAGGGTTCACAAGACAAGTGCAAACCCTTGTAATGTCCTCTTAGGGGCTGAATATTCAAAAATAGCTGTGTACACACGCCACAGCCCATCATTGCTTAAATGAGTAATGGTGCACTATGACGATCATACTAACCAGCCTGCAGGGTAAGCAAAAGGTAGGTCATCAGATCTTTTGATCTTCAACCAGCAGAAGCCCCTGCCAGCATATGTCATAGTCAAGAATGTTGGGAACTGAAATCTAACAAAATCCGGAGATCCACTTGCTGCCCACCCTGGTTTACAGTACCCTTGATGTGGAGTGGCCTTCAGAGGCATTTGGACCACAACTCCCAGAATTCTCAACCAGCAGGGCCACTGACTGGGAATTCTTGGCGTTGCAATCAAAACATGTCTGGAAGGCACATGGTTGGAGAAGGCCTGGTCTTAAACACAAAATATAGTTAAAAGGGAAGAGGAAAATTATATAATCCCATATGAAGATCAAATGCAGTTGCAACATGTTCCTATGCGCAGAAGCTGGTTCGCTGCAGTCAATAGGATTTACTTGCAAGTAATAGGATTAGGATCAGCATATAAAACACGATGAGTCTTGACAGTAAGCAGCACAAACTGACTAAATCAGTACTGACCAATTGGTCAGGCTGAGCATTACCCTGTCATCACCAAAGTATTTTCTTCTTTGATTCTGGAGAAGAGACAGACATTGGTTTGCTGTGAGTGCCTGCCTAATTTCTGGCATACTTCTGGTACCTGTGAACGTAACTTTTATCTTAAAATCAAACTTGTGCATTCTCAAACAGAAAGAAATACGTGAAATCTGACTAATTCCAAGGCAAAGAACAATGAAACCATATTTTATTATAAAGAAGGAGTCTTATAACAAAGCAAAGACCCTTGAATGAAGCAATCCATTAGCTCTTGTGTCTGGTTGTGGAGTAGTCCCATTTCAAGTTTCTGATCTGAGAAGAACCAGCAGCTTGAGTAAGTGGGGAGAGGCATTGTAAGTATAAACATAGTCATGAATACTCAAAAGGCTTAGCCTGATATTTTACAATTTTGGGAGAAAGGGTGCTTTCAGATAAGGCGTTTATTGTATGATTATCTTGCCACGTTAATGGATTTTAATAGGCAGTCCAGATGGCAATGTCTTCCATTTATTGTATGCTGCAGCATGCTGCGATCTTCAGGAACACCCCCTGAGGATCCCTCAGAGACAAACATTTAAGGGATTGCCTCTCCATGAGAATCTTGGGGGAGAGCCAGAGGGTGTGTGGCTGTCTTTGCCATGACAGGAGAGCAGAGTCCTTGAGGTCCTCTGGAGCACCTGTTGTTCCGCCTTTGAGTGGGGGAAACCTTCAAAGAACCCTGGGAGAGCAGCTGGCAGGGCTCTCTGGAGCACCCATGCATCTACCAGCAGCACTCACTCAGCAATACTTTCCATGGTGGTGGTGAGCACTCTGTAATTCACCTCCCTGTGCCTGAGGCAGGAGCTTCACCCCACTTCAGGGGAAACGAATTCTGTGGTGGGTTCTGGCACCATAAGTGTTCCACACTGCTAGGGAGCAGATTCAGTCATTCTTTTCATCACCAGCCTAGTCATTATGTATGACAAGCCATGGCACATTTTCAAGTAACTTCCATTTGTACCTATTCAGAAGCATAAATGACACGACATAGCCACTTAGATCAAGGCTTGCCAAAGGGAAGAAGAGAAAGAGGATGTAGCTAGAGAGCAGTTCTTCATCCACTACTCTCCATCAATCCACATCTGTCAAACTGGGGTGTGCACAAGTCTTACAAATCACCCTGTACAGTGCATTTTGCCATAAAAGAAAGAGAAAGCTCTTCTGCTTAAAATAGCAGAGTCGAATGAGAAGTATTGCAAGGGAAGTGCAACTGGAAGCCGGAAAGCTGAGTAGCATTTTAAAAAATTGCTTAAGGTTTTGTTTTGCAGCTAACTAATAACAATTTATGGAAAACACTTTTCAGACTGCAGAAGTCTTTGAACAAAATTTTAGTGCAACCTGCTTTCCCCAGAAAAGTAGAAGCAGAGTAGATGAGTAGGAGATACATTTGGAGTGCACAATGCTAACCAAAATCCTTTGGAAGTATGTTCTACTACAGTTATTTACTCATTAAACCAAATATTGTACATCATAGCCCTTCACTTTAACAATGAAGCTTTTACATAATCTTTCAAAGTAATTATTCTGACAAAACACAACTACTGCTGTACATAGTAGACAAAAATAAGATATACACACACATTCTTTTCTGCAAAGTGAACTTGCACAAAATTTTATCGACAGAATATTTTCTAGGTAACTGATTTTTTAAAAAAATATTGGCATTTTTAATTAAAATCCGCAGGCACATCATCATCTTACTGTCTTGCTAACGTTGGAAAAGCCAATGCCAACACAGGTCATTAAAACTTTATCACCACCTTTGCGTTCTTCTTCAAACAATTTGGTTTCAATTTTAAACATAACCTGGAAATAATCTCTCAAATGCCGCAGAAACTCGATTCTAAAAAAAAGGAGAAAGTAAATATTAGTATAAACACCTCCACCTTTTCCACAGTTACTATGAAGAGCATCTGAGCCACTATGTTCTGAGGGGGAGGCCTGGTCTACTGATGTTCACTTGGGGCTCCTCCACTGGGACACTCACTATGCAGAACATCCTCCCAGTCGAGATCAGGCAAGCTTGTCGTGTGAAGTTTTCCCACTGACAGTTCAAAACGTGTCTGTGTGGGTGTGTTCCCGACTGCTAGCTCTGTTTGCTGCCTTGTCTCTACAGCAAGACCCCTGTATCTGTGGGCTCAGTTGCTTCGATTGTCATTGTCATATTTGTTTTTCGGCGCCAGGCGAAGACCTTTTTATTTAAGCAGTATTTTAAATGTTAATATTATTTAATTTTATTTGGCCAGGGCGGCTTGTTTTATAGTGTATGTTTTATATTATATACTTGTATTTTATTGTATATATTTTAAAATGTTATTTTAATCTTTTTGTTGTAAGCCGCCCCGAGGCTTCGGCGAATGGGGCGGCATAAAAATGTTTTAATAAATAAAATAAATAAATAAATTAACGGCAGTTGATCTAGGCTGAAAGAGACGTCGTAAAGCGCCAGAGAGAGGTCATAAAGTGCTATAAAGTGCCAAGAGGTAGGTCGTACAGTGCTTCTTGAAAGCAAAATTCTTGCTTTAACAGGGAAAGAAAAGAATCGTATGCTGAGGTAAGAATGAATGAGATTGTGAAAAAATATTGTACTGCATTTAGTATACATAATATAGTGTTTGCTATTATCTGCAGTTTCAGGGATCCGCTGGCGGGTGTGAAACCAAACCTCATGGATATGGGGGTCCTGCTGTATGGTTATATTGCCATTTTATTGGATTTTAGCATTTACTTTGTGAATGGTTTTGGGATGGAAAAACCAAATAGCACCATAGAATGTTTCTAAAAAATTATTTCTAGTAAAAATAAAGTTTGTCACTTTTCCACAATTGCTCAACAGGATATACAGGAAGTAAAAAGATAAAGATGAACCAAATATTGTGATAAAATTTGCATTTAATTAATGGTTAGTGCTGAAAAGCATTTACCAATAAAATAGCAAACATTGTTTTGGGACCTTGAAAGCAAATCTTTGCTTTCAAAATCTGAATGGAATTTTCTGGAACAATATTGGTTGGGATATGAAAAAAAAAAAACTGTTCCATTTTTCAAATCAAGCAATTTCAGCATAGAATTATATGTGTTCAACTAAGGCAGTACTCCCACTCTTTATTTTCAAATGTTGTGCTACAATTCTAGACAATTCTAGATATCTAGATAATTCTAGATAGAACTGTACAAATGAATGAAAAGTTACAATAGATTTCCCCTGTGAAATAAGTTTTTATTTATTTATTTATTTATTTATTTATTTATTTATTAAAACGTTTTTTATGCCGCCCCATTCTCTGAAGCCTCGGGGCGGCTCACATCACTAAATTAAAATAATTATAATATAAATTAAAAATATAAATATTAAATTAAAAATACAACAATACAGTATAAAATAAGCCGCCCTGGCCAGATAAAACCAATAAAATAAGTTAACAGTTAAAATGCTGCTTGAATAAAAAGTTGGATTTATTACATGTAATTTTGGCCCCCTAGTAATAATTTTAAATTAGAAAAATATTTTATTGCATGAAAGAAAGAAAACCATATCCAGGCCTGAACTTTTCATCCTTCTCTATGGGCTTTATTAACCACTAGTAGAACAGAGAACAAGGGCTGTAAAAACAACCTAAAATGAATGGAACCATTAGTTTCTCAAACAGGGGGGCTCAGCTGGACTTGCAGATATTTCTGCTTTTTCAGGGTTGTGTTTTGAGCTATGAGCTTAATCTTACATTGGTGGTGCATCCCACTTGCACAACAGACTGAATAGGTGCGTCCTCTTTATGCACACACACTCACAGACTGACATATAATACTGAATTAAACAAAACATTTCATACAGGTCAATAGTACATAAATCTTTCTTCACTATCTGTTTACCACCTCTAACAGTTGTCATGCAACAGTTATCACTTCTCTGACATTTCTTTAATCTTTGATCCTATACATACTTACCTGGGAGAAGCCCTTCTGAACGCAGTGTGGCTTACTTCTGAGTAAACATGCATAAGACTGCACTAAAAAACAGTTAATGTACATTGATCTATATTTAAGAGTCCTGAAAAGGGGAAAAGCATCAGCTTCATTATATATCTTATCTAAGATAGTCTTAAAATAGTTCACTGATATAAGAAAGCTGCAAAATATGAATACATACATTCCCTCTGCTGTATTTTAGATAGGCACACAATATACAAACATGAACCAGAAGAAAAATCAGATGCTACTAACCTCACCACAAAAATTATCAAGTAGAAGGCAAAGAGTGGGTGCATTCCTATGAGTATCCTGTATGCAATTCTGTATTAATGATTCAATTACCACTTGAAGTTCCAAGCATTCCTTGAAGTTATTCCTACTAAGCATTTTTAAGGGATAGGGTGAGGTGTTGTTTAAAAGAACAATACAAATTATTTTGGGATCTCTACAACAGAAATCATTAGCTATACAACCTTCACTAAATCAACTTTTTCCCATATTCATGCAGCCTACACTTGAAGAAATTGTGTGGCTCTTTCCTTTCAGACCATTATTAATTAAAAGACTAATTTACAAGAAGTACATGACCAGGCAAAAAAGGCATTACCCTTGAATTCAAACACAGGCCACTGACAGCCCCTCCAGGGTGCCACTTGGGACACTTTGGGCTGTTACTAGCTGTCAAATAAGAGATCACTTTTTGTGATCTTTGAGAAAAGAAGAGTATAAGCAGCAAAAAATGCACAGTGAGCTCAAAAGGGATTGCTACTGTAGCGAGGGGATAAGGTGCTCCTACCACAAGTCCCCCAGGATACCTGCAGAACGACCAAGCAGGAAGGAATGGGATGAAGGGGACAAGTAACCCTTGTGAACGGGAGTATCTGTTGGGTACACCATGGGTTGTTCACATAGCAACCTGCCCACTGTGGGTTGTCGGAAGGTGCAAGCTTGCCATTATATACAATGAAACTTAGTTCCTAAAAAGCAGCCTAAGAGACAAGAAGGAAAAAGGATGCAAGGGAGAAATAAAATTGCAAGTGAGGCTAGCAGGCCTGCAGGGTTGATCTAACAAAGTCAGTGCTATCATGATCCAAGAGCATCACCTTGTGGAGAAAAGCACATGCACCATCCCAATTGCTGGCTGGATTAGCAGCCAGCCTGTCTCACCATACAACTGATGTTCTGACCATTTGTCTGGGCCTCGATTCCTATGCAGATATCCCGAGGTCTTTAAAAAGGTTTTATGAAACATTTGCTCTAAAATGAATACATATCTATACTAAGAAAAGAAGGCATGTCTGTCTATCCATCTGTGCCACAGTACCAAGACCATGAAACAGACTCTGGAATGTTGGCATGTAAATAAAGGAGATCATAGTGGTTTATTTTAAGCACATTAAATTGCCATTTATTTAAACCTGTCCATGTGGTTAAAGCCTGCAATGACATGTTCAGCCACTGTGCAGCACAGTCCCTTAACCAGGTGTCCTAAGCCATTCTGTAGGGGATGGGATAGGAAAGCTTTCAATAAATAAAATAAATAACTGAACCAGCAGACAGCTTTGGAGTCTATGAAGCAATGGGAGAAAAATCAGCTTGAAGGGAGGTGTCAAAATTTGGCATGTCTTGTTTTATATGCTCTGGATTCCTTCCCATTTAACTCAGCTCGGCCTCCAACTTGCTCTGATAAAAGTTAACCCAACACATGTACTTCTATTTTTAAAGCAGGCTGCGATTTGCAAATTTTTGAAGGCTGAGAAACCTATAAGTTATGGCCATTATCTATATAAAATATGCCTGCAAATTTTATGAATATAGTCATCATTTATTCAAACTGAGCTGCTTAAACAGCGGCCATATTTTAGGTACACTGTGTAAATTGCAGCCAAATGTTACGCAAATTTTCCTGCCTTTGAAAGCGAAAACAAAAAACCCACAAGTCTTGGCCCACTTGAAAAGTGGAAGTTGCAAAACATCCTCCAATTCTGTCCACTTTCAGTTATCAAATCAGCAAGGTACTCTGAAGCTGGCCAACCACACGCGTGCCAATTTCTTGAATCACATCTTTCCATAAGTTCATACAGTTAAAAGTCAGGAAATTAGTAGATGGAAGGTCTATATTTATGCCACTTTCCCACTGCTGTAGGCAGCCCGCCCCCCGCCCCCCTGGCACCCCAGGGAAATGGAGTACGCAAATACATCCCTGAGGGAACTACAACAGGTGCTTGGATTCACTCAGACAGTACAGGCCCAATGGGTCCAAGTTTGCTCGAAGTCTTTCCTGTTAAAAATTAAGGGCTACTCCAACTTGTGCAAGCCTCCCCTGTCCACTGCTAGGATACAAAAGAGAGGGCCAGTTCACACCTTCAGCTTCTCAAAGCTTCATGTATCCAAAGGGTGGAAGTAGAGCAGAGGCGTGAGCTGGCCAGAGATTCAATCCCTTCCTAAATCCAAGGACAAGGAAATTGCAAAAGAAGGGGAAGGTGGGTTTGGGGGGATGCCAGCACAGCATGGAAAAAAGCTCCCAAGAAAAGTTTTCAGGAAACAATCTGGGATACTTTCCTTCAGTGCATGTGTGAGAAAGACACCTAGCGGAGAACCTTGCGTGGTTCCCTAAGGCTTTGTATAAGCACTCCACCCCCTCCCACTTGAGGGATGGCCAAGTGCCTGCATGACAGTCCTCTGAAACATTTCAAATGGAACAGCAGCCTAAAAAAAGCACAGTTCCTTCCTTTCGGCTATTCCACAATCACGTGGTTTCCCCATAGCAGCAATAAGCAGGCAGGCCCCTCAGAATAAGGGGACCGGCAGGAAACCAACAGGGAGCCTCCCCAGTCCAAGTCCTCTCATTGCCCTTCCCACCAATAAAATATT